CCCCGTCCACACTACGCCGGAGAAATTTGAAAACGCAGCGTTATTTCCACGGTTAGGCCTACCGTCCACACTAATCCGTCACGAAAACGGAGCTTTTCAAAAACGCTCTTTAAAACGGAGTTCGAAAACGCCGGCTTTGCGTTTTAGTATGGGTAGAACACATTTTAAAAACGGAGCTCTACCAAAACAAAGACGTTACGATAATCACGTAATTTCCCTGTCTGCGTTTTGCTCAAACGAATCCAAAACGACCGGTGACTGTTGCGTTTTCAAATTTCTGTTAATAATTTTAAAAACTATTAACATAAATCCCTTTCACTCCCACTATTAATTGCCCTTACTGTCTGCCATTCAATTCTTGTAATGTTAGTTCAGATAATTTTCTTTGGTCTGAGAATTTGGTGAATTTCAATAGATTTCCAGACCTATGCAGGACCAGAAGCCTTTTTCCAGGGCTTTCCAATCCTGGAAAACACCACAACAAAACTCCAGGACTTTTCAGGTTTTCCAGGACCCATACGAACCCTGTGTTAAGCAAAGAATGATATTTAGATTTTAAAACACAATCTAAAACTTAGCATCCTCAAATTCACATTTAGTTTTGTGACTTATCAATAACGATTTATTATTACTACTGCTACTTTCAATTTTGTTAACCATTTTAATTATTTTTATGTCCTTCGCTTTCTTTTACTTTTACCATTGTGCCCTTAAAAAAAATCACTGGTAAAAATGATTCTAAAGGAGCAGAGTATGGTAGACTTTGAGTTGAAGTGTCGCACGACCTGGCTGCAGTTTATAGCAGAACCCCTGGTATCAACGCCAGCAAATTCCACAAAATAATTTCTATCGCTATGTTGCATTGCTGTGCGCAGAATGTGTACATCTTTTGGTTTTGACTTCATTGTCTATGTTCAAGTTTTGTAACATATCCTTGCTAATGTTGAGTTGTGATACATCAGGTGTCGACTTTGGTTCCTGGGGGGTAGGCTGAGTAGCTCCCTGCACTGTGGAGGCATTGCTTGGCTGTTTAGGTTGCCTTGCACCAAATATGGTACTGCCTACTCGTACATTTGTACTGCCCATTAAAATCTACCAAAAAAGAAACATGCGTTGTTTAGAACTGGGGGACAGTTAAGGGAGTACGAAGGAAAAGCCAGACATGATCAGAGATGATCCAACACAAATGGCCAATCACAAGAACTTGTATAACGTTAACAACCAATGTAAGTTCAGAGAGAAATCCTGAAGCCAGTGCCAAGTGTGAAAAACTAGTTTGTTCACACTTCTGAACAATTAGAGCATGTTTATACAGGAGTTCGTCTTTAGAAACCATCTTTTATTATTATGATGATGTAGAGAGCCCAAGCAGAAAAAGCAAGACCAAAAAATACATTTTTATTATTTATGTTCAAGTAATATATCAAAGACGAAAGACAGTGTTTCATCGGGGTATTCAGCCATCGAGAAGAGAGTTGAAAATACGACGCACAGCGAAGTATTTTTGACGAAATTCGAGCTGTTTGGATGGCCGATGAAACACTATCCCGAGTGTTTGATATATCTTCTCAGCCCAAACAAAAACTAAGGAGTAAACAGAGAAGTAAAATCGTCAAAATCTGTGCTAATTAAGCCCGAGTATCCAAACCTCCTTCATGGTAACCTTGTGATTTTCTTTTGTAACTTGATGAATTATTAATGAGTTTGAGAACAGTCAATCAAAAACCATTCTAGTGTTGATTGATAATGATAATTGACAATACTTCTTCTTTGATAGCAAGTGTTTGTCCCATCTCTTTGGAACAGTTGGTACTCAATAACACATACAACATGACATGCTTTCGCTCCACACAGGATGCTTTTTTTTAGGAACCAGCTTGCCAAGAGTCTCCCTGTATCTCAGTGCTTAGAGCATTGACCACACCAGTGTGTGGAAGATCATGGGCTCCAGTCTGTTGGGGACTCAGATTTTTGTCTCTATCCCGTGCCCACAAAAAATAAAGTTATAACTTCCTTCAGCAGGTAAAAGAATGTTTGCAGATACAGTCAACTGACTCTCTTGAAACAAATATACTTCATTCATGTGCCCTTATGTTGAAATACCAATAATACCAGTTAAACAGAATTGCAACTATCCGTAACATGTCTTAAGATGTCACTCAACTGACTGGACACAGCCTTCAAACAATACACTTACCGCTTTGTCAAAATCATTTGACATTCCCATGCTCAATTCTACATCTTCTGGACTAAGGCCTAGTTTTTCACAAACGTTTTTCCGGCATTCTACTAAACACTGCAAAGAAAATAAGAACATTAAAGTTACAACACAGGTTTACATGTATCGTAGATTTACACTTTTTTTAAGATCACTTGTTGAGAACTAACAAAACAGCTGCCCTCGTCTGTAAACTTAATTGGGGCTTGAGTACCTGACACCACCAGAGTTTTAGTCTGTAATACAGGTGTATTTCTGGTTAGCACCAATAGGGGAGGCTTGGAGAGAGAAAAAAATGTGTTCTGAGAAGTAGGAGTAAGGTTGAATGAAACGTGACAGGGAAGGAGGAGGGGAAGAGAAAATATTGCCTCACCCCCTCTATATTCTTGTTCTTTCATCCCAACATGAACCATTTATTTGTTTTTTTAACAGCTTTGCGATGGCTTATTGATAGGTGAACAGAAATATCCAGTGTTCTCAACCAGCAAGAACACCTGCACAGAAGGCTAGAAGAGTTTATCTCAGTTTCTGTAGCATGAAGCATCCAGAAGTATTGATACTCATTCTTAAGGTTGTATATAATTGCAGGCTACCAGGCTAACCTCAGCATTTTACCAGGTTGACCTTAAAGTTGTTGGCACCCTCTGGACTCAAAAAAAGTGCCGTGCAGTCATCTGGGACAAAAGTTACTTGCAATTACTGTGCCATTGCAAGTAACTTACATTCTCACTTGCATAATGGGCAAGGGATCAGTCAAGTTATCTGCCAACTAAAGCATTAAAAGAACAAACTAAGACTTGCCCAGGGCAACCAAAACTTGAGAGCTACATGTACTTGTCCCAACGGCACGCTGGAATTCAAGTTTTTTTTTCAAGCCCTGCCCCTTTTATACTCCGGGTTAGAAAAAGCACTATAAGTCAGAGTAAAGTGTTTTGGCTAAGAACAGGAACTTGGCTACATTCCAGAGTAGAATGTTTAATCCAGGGTCCAAATGTGCTGATGATGAATGGCAATCCTTACTCTTTTTTGTGTGGAAAGTACATGAAACAGCACTTTGTACAACAGTTCAATATTAAAATAACAATAATGGCCCAACAATTCATTAATCTAAAGAACAACTTTGTGCTTACAATAAAATCAGGATTTGCCCCTTGACTCCAGTCGTAATTCATTTCACCAATAGTCATTAGTCCTGAAAACTTTAAATGAGGACAGTGCGAGATAATGTGTTCCACAAGCTCTACACAATGATCACTTGAACATCCACTCTTACCTGCAAAAAAACAAAATCAGTGGAAATATAAGATATATAATAACAAGCAATCAAATGTCAATTGAAATCTGTAGAGTTTCTATACACACTGCAACACATTTATTTATAGTAGATCTTGCTTATGAACCAAGCTGGCCAGACGAGAACTGTACCCAATATAAAAAAGAATTGATTTTAAGCAATCAGTACCTGAATTTTTTTTCCCACACCTATCACACCTTCTTGCAAAGGTCCTTTCAGCCCTCCCCTCCTCCCACCCTCTTCTTTAAAGCACCTACATATATGAAAGGGCTGGCAATAGTGGCCTCTAGACTTGCTAGTAAGATTGTTTTAATCATTAACCATGTGTACATGTAACTGTATGATTGTACATCTAATTCTTTAGATTTGTATGCCATGATGTTTCACTATCTGCCTTATTAAGCATACCAAAGTTATTNACTTTAAATGAGGACAGTGCGAGATAATGTGTTCCACAAGCTCTACACAATGATCACTTGAACATCCACTTTTACCTGCAACAAAACAAAATCAGTGGAAATATAAGATATACAATAACAAGCAATCAAATGTCAATTGAAATTTGTAGATTTTCTAAGTATACACATTGCAACACATGTATTTATAGTAGATCTTGCTTATGAGCCAGGCTGGCCAGACGAGAACTGTACCCAATATAAAAAAGAATTGATTTTAAGCAATCAGTAACTGATTTTTTTCCCCACACCCATCACACCTTCTTACAAAGGTCCTTTCAGCCCTCCCTTCCTCCCACCCTCTTCTTTAAAGCACCTACATATATGAAAGGGCTGGCGATAGTGGCCTCTAGACTTGCTAGTAACATTGTTTTAATCATTAAACACGTGTACATGTAACTGTATGATTGTACATCTAATTCTTTAGATTTGTATGCCATGATGTTTCATTGTCTGTCTTATTAAGCATACCAAAGTTATTGTCATTAGAAGTGGGATGGTTGAGTGGTGTTTTGGAGAGTTCTAGCAGCCAACAATAAAATTAATTAATCACTGCATCATGCAAAAAAATCAGTTTTTCAACAAGCAGTAACTATCATGTACTAGCCAAACAGTCATTTTCACCACCCTATCTTCTGTGCACAAGTTCTTTAATTCNAATTTTAAAACACAAACTTTTGATGAGTTTTTGCCTATCATCCACACTCATCATTTTCATCAAAAATTTACTTACGTACATTTCAAAATGCTGTCCAGAGTGGCATACCAGCAGTTTTTAGCATTTTAGTGTGGATGGGTAAAATAAAGCAAAATTACAACATGAATGCAAAGCTTTTGACGTCATACAAAAGCACATCATTGGAAACATGTCATTTCAAAAACACATTAGTGTGGTGGCTTAAGCTGCCAGTACTTGACAAAAAAAACTCACTCACATAGTTTTCTCCAAAATGTCGTTGACCATGCTCATAAGCTTCAATTATGCAATCTGCTGGCTTTAACTTGCTGACAGCAACAAGACGAGGGGTGGTTTTAGGAAGATCCTAAAATCAATATGACCAATGACAGTTTGCAAAGTGAGAGAGCTTATTCGTATTTTCTCGATTGAACCATTCTGACTTTCTTATAAGCTTAGACATATTGAATAATTTGTCAAACACTAAGCAGTCAACTTAGTTATGCAGGGGTTTATAAGCTTATGTAATGGCTGTCGAAAGAGGTGTGTTACTTCAAGCATTTCTGCTTTTCTACAGACTCCTGGTAACTTTTGATTTTAACCCTTGCTACTGAAAAACATTTTAATCAGTTATATTGTATAACAAGTGATGGAAGCAATAAAAAGTTCAAAAACAGTTAAAAAACGTATTTAGGCAGATTTAGGGTTCAAGTGAAGTGGTATTATTTTAAATTTAATTCTAACTTCTGCACTTACACTTGACCGCTTAGCCGTCGCAGCTTTAACCCGGGCAATGACACTCCGAAGAGCAAGACCTACACCTTCCATAGACAAATTTCTGAACCGCTTCATGCAAAAACAGAGAAGAAAGCAGACATAACTGCCCCAGTGGCCGCCATTGATCAACAGGCGTGACAGCGATTAATGGCGGTCAGCGGTCATGGTTACCAAGGCGTCTTGGCAACCTGGGAATTGATACTCACTCAAAACAAACCACTTGAAGAAGCTGTAAGTCAAACGGAGTACAATCTACCCCTAGGCCCTGCAGACTTATGAGGGATGTAACGATCACGATCAAGTAAATAGACGTCCTCTTTGTACAAGTAAGATGGCAAAAGGCCGAACATTTGTTCCATCGAAAGAGAAAGAAGGAAATTGGGTGAGTCTTTCGACTTTTAATGAACATCACGTTCTCAAATGCCAGTCAAGGGAATCCAGCTGAAAAGTCCATTAACACTTAACCAACTGAAGAAGACATTGATAAGTTGATAACGGCCTAGCAGCAAGATCAGCTTCTTAAGGAATTTGATATGTCAAGACGAAAACTAGCCGGCAATTTTTTTAATCCCTTAACAGACATGTTAAAGAATATATCAACCCAAATTTTGCCATGTCGCGGGAAGCCATCACCTGGCACCACACAGAAAAAGCTTTTGAATATTAAAGCTAATATTTATTTTACAAACAGTCCGAATCAATCAACAGACGACATTATTATTGAATGGTGAAAACAAAATTTATTTTGAGAGCCAACATTTGCCAGTGCTCACTAGAAAAGCTAGCGATTTGCATGAATTTTTCTCTTTTAAAAGAAACTAATTAAGAATACAAAGTCACATTTTGACATCAAATTACCGAAACAAAAGGTAACTAAGTTTTTGTTTTTATGGAAATCTATCTCTGCATGCAACAATAAAGACAATACATATGACTGGTCAGTTTACAATGGCAGCTGAACAAATTCACCACAGCGGACGAAAACTAGATTAAAACTACTAAAAAAACCTACGGTACTCTACTATACTGCGCTGAAAATGAAAAGCTGCGCGGTGATGAAAATCGCTCAAACTTCGAATGATCCAAATCGATTTGGTGATTCTTTGCAAGTCCCTGACATTTTTCGTGATAAACTAAGGCCAACTAAGCCAAGGGAAAAACGTCTGACAGATTGTCTTTGGCAAGATGGCAAAAACAAACTATTAACTTTCAGATGTCCTCAGTTCTTCGGCTGTTTCTATCAGATCAGAACACAACAAGAGAGCCATAACATACACGTACCCTTCTCTATCATTTTATTTTCCATCAGAACCATCAGGCAGTTAACCTGCGATCAGGCGTCCTTTTNATCAGAACACAACAAGAGAGCCATAACATACACGTACCCTTCTCTATCATTTTATTTTCCATCAGAACCATCAGGCAGTTAACCTGCGATCAGGCGTCCTTTTTTGCGGAGGAAGAAAAAAAGAATTCGTTCCTTTTTTCTCCCCCCACCTCCTGTGAAAAAAAACGTCTGATCGCAGGTTATCAGGCTGTCAAAAAGTTTGCTAGTCATTGAGGGAAAAAAAAATTATTTTCATTTCTTAATTCATTTCAGTTTGCGACAAGAGGCTGGCCGAGAACACTTGATGTTACCAAACCACAAGAGAAGAGAATAGCATCACCACCTGCGAACTTCAAATACAAACATGAGGTAGATTTTCCTTTTTCAGCCCAAAAAGAAGACCTCTTAGTCAATAAATAATGCATCATGTTATAAGGGAGCAACTTTTAATGATGATGATGATGATGCTCTTAATCATTTTTATCTAGACTCCATTCAGAAGATTCGCTTTCTCCACACATGACAACAGACACGCTTTTCAAGATCAAGGAGAATACTTTGGAAATGTAAGGCAATCACTTTTTGTTTTTACCAACAAACAAGACACATTTATATATGCCCACCACTGAGTTAGGCCCTGTCCACACTAGTCCGTTTTCTTTTCTGGATCAGAAAATCTATATCCACGCCATCGTTTTAAAATTATTTTTGCTGTCCACACTAACTAGTTGAAAACGAGATGAAAAGGTGTGCTGTCCCAATTGAGCATGCGCCGAGTGCTTAAGCTATGAACACAGTACATGCATATGGTCATTGTGACCTTAGCGTTTGTGAAAGGCATCGTTTCTCCCGTCTACGCCAATGAAATAAATGATAGAAAAAATAAATTACAATATTTGGAGAGCAGGCCACATCAGCCTTAGTTGGCCCTCATATGGTTCCTCTATTCAGGTCAAACTAGAAGTGCTGGTTTTTCAGGAAGGAGGAAAAGCAAAGGACCCAGAGAAAAACCCTCGTACCATCTCGCAGCAAGGCGAGAACCAACAACAAACTCAACTCACATATGACAACAGGCCTGGATCTAGCACTGGCCACATTGGTGCTGCGCCTCACTGTTCTCCAAAAATAGGAAAAGATGTTTTCGATATTGACCGAGTCCATTCTCGAATGCGTTTTCTAATCGTACCGTTTTCGGTGACCAAAAATGTGGATCAGTGTGGACGGGAAGGGAAAAAGCATAAAAAAAGTTAACATTGGCGTCGAGAAAAATCCATTTGGCCAGGGATTTGGTTAACCACTTTATATTAAAGCTTCTCTCCGCCAGTTGTTCTACTTCGTTTTCATCTTAGTAGAATGCAAATCCTGCGCGACAGTCCTGTGCGAGAGTCTCAAGGCTCAATAAGAATGAGCTCCAAAAACGCTGGTCACGTGTCTAGACTATTCCAGACGCAATAATCTTGTTTAGATGTAGCCTTATAAATTCAATGCTTTCGCCGAATCAGTCCCTGCCTTTTCTTTGTTAGAGCTCATTAATCTCAAGTTAACGCAACAAGACATTGGATCTGACAGTACATTACGCACCAGTACTCAGTTGTGTCAGTCGGTACATAAGATCATTACTGAGGAAGCTGAAGAAGAAACCGTCGATCTCTTCAGCCTTTCGGTTTTCAGACAGAGCGCCCTTGTTTTCTCTGACTCTGCTAATTAAAGGCTGACAACTTGTAGAAAAATAGTAATTAACTTTTGGTTTGCTTTAAAATATTCCAGTGTGCATTGATCAAGGGTCACACCCAGTCTCATTACCTTGGAAAGCACGATTTACAGCATCTTTCATTAATTTGTACTGAATATTTTCATTCGGTTATTCTACTTTCAGGGACTTGGACGAAGAACATTTCCCGACAGGTGTCAACACTATTCCAACAATTTGATAACATGGAATGCAAATAACGACGCACGCTCGTGCTATATGGCGTCTTATCAAGGTTCTCAGGGGGAAGATAACAGCCGGAATAGACGGTTCCCACGGGTACACCCCGAAGCAAAGCCTGGGTCTGCCCCATTAGAAACGACAACGACCAAATGGTTTCGGCGACCGGACATTCCGTACAAAACGCCTCTTCACGTGCTGGCTATAACGCAAGAACCATTTCTGACTCCTAATAAATGGGCATACTCGTACAGACCGATATGGCACTAGGAATAATTGATTATGCCTATAGATCCTTGTTATGTTGTTGCCATTGCAACAAAGATCCGCAAAGCGTACAGATTACAGTTCAATGGATACGTGTTGATTTAGAAAGAATCATCAACAACATTTGAAATGAGTTGTGTGACTGAAAAAGAAATGATATTTTGGACAACTTAATTTTGTTGTCTCTTACGCTGAATGTTTTGAGATACTACCGAATAATTATTTCAATTTATTTGATGAAAGCCTTTTTATAAATTGTAACTTATTAGCCCGGCGAGTTTTATTGTAATTCCGTGATATGGAGCAACGAAAACTGAAAAGAGATGATTCTTCACTTAATGTTTTGTTCCCGGGGTCGGTTTACTTCTTTGGTGAAACAACCTGATTTCTTTCTCTTACATTGTTTTCATAAACTACGAAATAACCCGGCGACACCTTTGTCTTCTAGCTAATGAACATATGTACATACAAGAGTGACCTTAAGTTTGAACGTTGTAAATAAATTTGATTGACGTTATACATGTTCACTGCTCAAGTGGAGATCTGTTAATTTGACTTTCTTGTAACTGAAAAACAAATTCAAAATTTCGTCGTTTGATGCCTGTGTACAATTTGCCGAAGTTTTTAATTTAGAGGTGAATCAGTACGTCGGGGGTACTGCGTAAAACGTGGAGTTGTAGTTAAGAAGATTCGTAACGAGAGCAGGAGTTCCCAGGTTCGAGTCATGTTATGAGCTGAGAAAACGTCTCTTTCGAATTCCGCTAAGAAAAAGTAAGAAAACTAGTGAGAGTCAAGTCGGAAAATAGATTAGCAGGCGTCGGCAACAAAGAATATCTAAGGAGTAATGCTAAGAAAAATGTCAATGGCAATTCTTAGAAATAGGGAGGCACAGGGGAAGGGGGATTGTTATAGACAAAGTCTACATGAATCATAAGGGAAGAAAAAGGGAGAAGGGTAATAAGTGGTGAGAGTCACTAGGGAGGTTAGAGCTGAAATAGATCATAGTGGGGCACAGTAGCGGACTTACGGCGAATTAGAGGGACAATTGGACAAGCGATTTTACAGAAATATTCAGTGTCTTTGAACACATGGGCCAAACAAAACATCGTAGACCAATTCGTTTTTTCTTTCGCAATTAAATAAATTTTACACTGTTCTTCTTACCTAAAAAAATGTGAATTATTGTATTTGCGCTAGATGAAGCTTAGGATTGCGACCACTATATTTTCATATATCGTTGGATCAATCATGGGCCTAAGGGGTGACTAAATCTTCGTTTAAGAAATAGCGCGAACAATGATATTGCACAACCATGGACAAGTAATGTGAAGTACATTTGGATTTTGAATAATTTGATGAGCGGGCTCTCTGTCAAGATATGTAAGAATGTATTAGGCCACCATTAGTTTTGTGGCAAGCGAAAAAAACTCTCAAGCTATGTACAATGCTTATGAATTACCCAAAACACCTGTACTTCGAAAGACGAATGTTTTGTAAGTAGTTTTGTAATCTATATATACACCTTTCTGTTACGGTCTCTGTTGCCTCATGCCACTATAAGAGCCTTGTTCCTATAAGAGCCTTAATTTAGAGCGGTTTTCATTGAGTGTCGTAAAACCAAAACCAAACTAATTACTTACCAATTAGACTACACGGCCAATCTCAAACCGCAGTAAAACCAAAACCAAAGTAATCGCCCGATTGCTTTTGACACTCAGTTGAAAACCGCTCTAACGCCTTGCATCAAATCTCTATTGACAGCTAGATTATGGCGACATCCATCGCTTGCAAGTTAACGCCGCTGCCGCTTGACTAAGAATTAGCCAGTAGCAATCAGTATTATATAATTATACTGTTTTTTAGTACACAAAGTCTAAGATAAAGTATGTAAAACAGAGTTGAAAAAGCTCCTGAGATTTTCTTACCATGATTATTGACAATAAATAAATTTACTTA